GGCAGAATCGTTGTAGGACCTAAGCACTATGCTCAATGATCTCAATAGTGTTTCCCAACGGATAGGTCTTAAGATGAACATGGACAAAACAAAGATCATGTTTAATGTCCATGTCACACCTATGCCGGTAGTTGTTGGGAACACTAAGCTCGAAGTTGTTGACGAGTATGTTTACCTGGGACAAATAGTCCGACTAGGTAAGTCCAACTTCGACCGAGAGGTCAATCGACGTATTCAACTCGGTTGGGCAGCTTTCGGGAAATTACGACACATCTTCTCGTCAGGTATACCTCAAAACTTGAAAACGAGACTGTACACCCAGTGCGTGTTGCCAGTGATGACATACGGAACTGAGACGTGGTCCTTCACTGCTGGCCGGATGAGGAAGCTAAAGGTCGCTCAGCGAGCTATGGAGAGGGCTATGCTCGGAGTTTCTCTGCGTGATAAACTCAGAAATGAGGATATCCGCAGTAGAACCAGAGTGACCGACATAGCCCAACGGATTAGTAAGCTGAAGTGGCAATGGGCCGGCCATATAGCTCGAAGAACCGACAACCGATGGGGAAGAAAGGTTCTCGAGTGGCAGCCTCGTACCGGTAGGCGAAGTGTAGGGCGTCCCCCCACTAGATGGAGTGACGACCTGGTAAGATATGCAGGAAGTCGATGGATGCAGGTGGCTCAGGACCGTGCTTTGTGGCATTCTTTGGGGGAGGCCTATGTTCAGCAGTGGACTTGTGAAGGGCTGTAATGATGATGATGATGATGAACATTTATTCCATAATGAAGAAAGCGAAAAATTATTCTTGTAATTTTTGAAAAATTATATACAGGCTGTCCCGACACTCGACGACAAGCAGGTACGGGCGATGAGATAGGTTACATCAGTTCTAGCAAAAATAAAAAATAAATTCCATCTTACTTGGTTAAGTGATAATAGGTACACATTTGAAAATGTTAAAAATCAACAACCTAGATCACATATTAAGGGCCTCCAGTTCCCGGCGGCCCCGCTTTTCCTGGCTACGGTGGCGACCATGGTAACGGCGGGGCGGGGGTTGCTAAGAATCTCTGGTGGAGGTTCGATTGCCACCTAAGATGACTCGACCTGGAAACTTATAACGCACGCATCCTGAGGACTGACGAGAAGTTCTTGGAGCTGGAAGAAGAGATAGACAAGTTGCGTTGGAATACTATAGGATTAACTGAGGTCCGAATAGAGGGGAGGACATGGCAATCCTCAAATCCGGCAACTTGTTCTATCACCGGGAGGGCAACCATCTGTCCCAAGAAGGTATCGGATTTATCGTCCACAAGTCTCTCGTTAACAACGTAGTAAAGATTGAGAGTGTGTCGACAAGGGTTGCGTACCTTATACTCAGAATCACCAAACGGTATTCGCTGAAGAACATACAGGTTTACACACTAACCATGGCACATCCCGATGAGGAGGTGAAGGAAATGTATGAGGATATCTCTAGAGCCATGCATTCCTCCAAAACCCACTATACAGTGTTATTGGGAGACTTCAACGCAAAACAAAGCACACGAGAGAACTGTGAGCTGAAGGTAGGGAAATTTGGAATAGGGCAACGGAACCCAAGGGGCCAGCAGCTGGCCGACTTCATGGAGATAGAGGGACTCTTTAGAATGAACTCTTTCTTCCAGAAGCGGTTCCACAGGAACTTGACTTGGTCGAGCCCCGACGGTTCAACAAAAATTGAGATTGACTTTATTATTACGACCAGATGACAACTGTTCAGTGATGACTCAGTGATCGCGAGGGTGAAAACCGGCAGCGATCACCGAATGGTGAAAGGTACACTGAACCTAAACGTTAAGTTAGAGAGGTGACGTCTAATGAAGTCAACGCTCCGTCCCCCTCTCGCACTAATCCAGTCCCGAAACCTTTCAGCTCGAGCTACAAAACCGTTTTCAGTGCCTAGAAAATTGCAATGCAGTGGACGATATGAATGACATGCTCGTAGTAACTGCCCATGCGGTCGGAGCTAAGTTTTGCAAGACCCGCCGCAGAAGAACTCAAAACTCTCTGATCACACTCTTAATCTCATGGCTGTTAGACGGGAAATGAAGCTGCAGTATTCAGTAGATTGAAAGCATACAGGCAATTAAACAAACAGATCTAAAAATGCATGCGGTGGAACTTACGCAACTTTAATACTGCTCATATTTAAGAAACAATAGAGCGGAACCAGGGCTCCAAAGACTTTGCCAGAGATCTGTGTGTCAGAAAGAGACAACTGTCAAAGATGAAGACCGAGTGTGGCAGCGTCGTTTCCGGGACAGCTGAGATTTTGAGTGAGATTGAGAGGTTCTATGGGCAGCTGTACACGTAATCGTTGGAGCCACACGCAAGTATGAGTAACGATTCAAGAGCAAGTCTTATCCAACACTATTCCGATGATATTCCGGACGTAAGTCTGAGCGAGATTAGAATAGCTCTACAACACCTTAAAAACAGCAAGGCCCCAGGCGAAGATAGAATTACAGCGGAACTTCTGAAAGCGGGTGGAAAACCGGTACTCGAAATCCTTCAGAAGCCCTTTAGTTTCGTCCTCCATGGTAGCACTACCAGCAGCAGCTGCTGCAGCAGAAGTGTGGCGGTCTTGTTCTTCAAGAAAGGCGACAACGCTCTCTTGAAGAACTACAGACCGATTTCCCTTCTGAGCCGCGTTTACATGCTATTTTCGAGAGGCATTACGAATCGTCTCGCATGTAGACTCGACGACTTCCAGCCTCCCGAACAAGCCGGTTTCTGAAAAGGCTTTAGCACCATAGACCACACACATACTCTTTGGCAAATTGTACATAAGTCCGAGGAGTACAATTTGTCACTACGTCTGGCGTATGTGAACTATGAGAAAGCCTCTGACTCCATCAAAATTTTGGCTGTGCTGCAGTCACTTCAGCGAAACAAGACTATACAACCAGTGAGTTTTGCCAATGATCACCTATGGAACTGAGACATGGTTCTTCACTGCTGGTCGGATGAGTGAAGCTCAAGGTTGTTCAGCGAGCTATTAAGAGGGCTATGCTCGGAAATTTTCTGCGTGATAAACTTAAATAAGGGGATATCCACAGTAGAACCAGAGTGACCGACATAACCCAACGGATTAGTAAGCTGAAGTGGCAATGGGCCGGCCATATAGCTCGAACAAGCGACTACTGATGGGAAAAAAAGGTTTTTCGAGTGGCGGCCTGCTACCAACGACGAAGTGTAGGGCGTCCCTCCACTAGATGGAGTGTCGACCTGGTAAGGTTGCGTACAGATTAAGTAACATGTTGTGTGACTTTTGTTTTATAACACGTCCACATTATGTTACATTGTTTTTTAACATTGCAACATATAACAATACTGCACACATTAGAATAACAATGAAATATAGCAATTTTATATGACATTGTCGTTTGTCGTTCTGCAGTGCTTTTCACAATGTCGACATGAGAATACGTTTTGCTATCTGCTTCAGCAACTCTTGTACTTTTCAATAACAAAAGAAAAAAAAACATAGATACTGGGTTCGTCCCAAACAAACATATTTTATTGACTAGAGTATAATACTCTCGAGTTATATAACATTTTTGAATAACATTCAGACTCCACATAATTGAAACATATTATATAATAATATTTATAATATGTTGTGTTAAGTTATAAGTTATGTTAAGTTAAGAATAACAACTGTCCCGATATATCTAAGTTTGAAAATATTAAATATTCGCATGTAAATTGTCCAATAGTTGCCTGGCAGTTGACAAAATATATTGATTATAATTTACCACTTAGAGGTAGTTCTATTAGTCGTAACCTCGATTACTGAGCATGAGGTCTCGGTCATGCCAAAATCAGGTATTGGATTTTTCTATCAAGATTTTTCTGTTTTCTCTTTAGCAGCCAGAGTCAAGAATTGTTGTGTTTCATCCCCGTGCCTGGGAAAGCATATAAAGTCGTTGGTTTTGCGTTTGACCTCTCTCCGGTAGTGTCAGAATATCGACTCATAGGAATTTGAGAGTGAGGGAATCGATAGTGACTCATTCAAAACCTATACACCGTAAGGTAAAATATATACTCGTGTATATATATATATATATATATATATATATATATATATATATATATATCAGCTATTTGTCAGAGAAAATCCCGTCAAAATCTAGTCAAAATTAGTACCGCATATACTTTCATGTGCATTTAGTAAAAAGCTGTAATTTTGACATTACAAACAGACACTTCAATTTTATTTATTTCTATATTATATATATATATATATATATATATATATATATATACTAACTGGCCAGGCAGACGTCGTACTGCCCTCTCAGACTTTGTCCTATAAAAATCCTTAAATTACCAATAAAAAATATTGAGGGTCACTTAACGGGATAAGTACTATACTATCTCTCAAGTTGGACCAAACTGCACACAGTGTGCAAAATTTCATTGAAATCAGTTCAGTAGTTTAGGAGTTCATCGCGGACAAACAATGTGACACGTAATTTTTATATATATATTATATGAGTGTACAGTTTACAGTAATACTCTCTTTTTTAAAAGGCCTGCTACGCATCTGCAATTCCCTTGATTGATGTTTTGCAATTGATCATAGGTAGCGGATGTCAGTTCGCGTCAGGTGAACCGCACGCTCGTTTAAAAATGAAGTGAAAAAAAAAACCCATAAAAAGTGAAATGATTAAGTCTCACTTAAAAGGGGTGGTTATAGCGCCACCTATTTCCTACAGATGAGATATTTCTGGCGCTTCCCATAGTCTCTCTTTACTTCACTCATCTGACAAAATGGGGTGACAATTTCTCTTAGCTACGCCATCACTATATATCTGAACTAAAATTTGCAATTAACAAAGGAATAATTATGCGATGTCTGGAAAGAATTGAGCACAATCGATAAGGCAACCACCGATCCTTGAATTACGCGTTCATAATATTTATGAATTTTTAAAGTAATTTATAAATAACTTACAGTGAAAACAAGCCAAACATAAGGAAACCAAGAAGTGCAAGCCATTGCAAGTGCGGTGGACGCAACAGGGAAAATATCGAGTCATGTCTCCGAGAACTGTCCAACTCCAGCTCCATTCCGTTCTCATCTATAGACCTCTTCAAAGATACTACCTGAAATATATATTTTTATAGAATTAGTGTGACAAACGAACACACAGTTCGTCTGATGGTAGGTGAATGCTGTGGCCCATATACATATATTTATAATATTTATTTATTATGAAGAATCAAAATGTAGATACGTTGTCACCTCTAAGTTTGAAGATAGAAAGCCTCATTACCAGTAAAAAAGATCTCCAGTTCTACACACTCACCATACTGAACTTAGCAGCATTAAGCTTCTATTTTACGTTGGTTATTCTTTGAAAGTGTAGTACTTCCCCGGTCGTACTGCACGAGGTGCCATGATATAGCTGCAGCGTAGATTTAACACGTAATACTTTATAGTAAGTAGAAATAGCTAACTTATTTAGATTTCTGTTTTGTTCCAATGGTATGGTATCTAAAGGTTGTTTGGAAGAAATCGCTGTAGAAATACACTGCCCGTAGTACTGATAATTTTCGATCATATTTATTTTCCCTTTATGTTTTATTTTGTGCTAAAGTGCTTTATTTGAATTACCGTTACCGTTATAGCCTATTAAAGTCCACAGCTGAACATAGGTCTCTCCCATTTATAGCCTCATAGGGCGATATTTGCTATAGTTGCCACGCTTGGTAAGCGGGGTTGGCAACCGCAATTTCTTATTTTTAGTCGTTATTAGGAAGATTCTGCTGCCCATCTCCTGTCTGCGTTTAACTATGTCCAATTTTTATTATGTACGTAAACTTCTGACGGAAAGACAGAGAGACTCAGAGTCTTTAGAAAGTCTTTAAATATTCCGTTTTACTGAATTTGGCACGGAACTCCAAAAATTGGTCCTAGGTACTGGATTGTCTGAAATTCGTGGGCGCATGTATTCATTTTCAATAGAGCATCAAGCATTTCAATAGATAGGGAGTCTGGATACTACCACCTGTTTGGGATTCTGTAATTAATAAAATTAAAACTAAACTCAAGCGTACCATTGCAAGTCTTTTAGGACACAGCAAGTTCTTTCTGCGTAGATCGGACCAAAATTCGTGAAAGTAGTTTTATTCAATACCTATGTAGTGTTCGCGTAAATATAAGAAATCATTATTTATAAATTCCTCTTAAGGCTGCGAAACAAAGGTGGTTTCAATATCAATCGCGTTTTCCCATAGAATAATTTATTCATTTATTTAGATAAATTTATAAAGATTTATGTATTCTGCACATTATTCATAAAACCATCGATTGTACCTTGGAAGTAACGCTATGGAAATTATTAAAATTATGTTATGTTATCCAGCTATTTCAGAACAAGTAGACTTTCAGCTCTTTTTGCAGCGTTTTCTCGAAATTCTGATTGCAAGTTAAGATAATAGAGTCACACTAAAACTTCTAATAATACATTGTGCTATGCTGTTTTTAGAGTTTGTCCGCGTGATAAAATTAGAAACGAGGATATCCGCAGTAGAACCAGAGTGACCGACATAGCCCAACGGATTAGTAAGCTGAAGTGGCAATGGGCCGGCGATATAGCTCGAAGAACCGACAACTGATGGGGAAGAAAGGTTCTCGAGTGGCAGCCTCGTACTGGTAGGTGAAGTGAGGGGCAGCTCCCCGCTAGAAGGAGTGACAACCTGTTACGACATGTAGGAATTCGATGGATGCAGGTGGCTCCGGACCACGCTTTATGGCATTCCTTGGGGGAGGCCTATGTTCAGCAGTGGACTTCCGAAGTGCTGTACTTGATGATGATGATGTAGGTGATGATAATGATGATGATGCTTTTAAACAATATTTTTCCGCTCTATGGCTAAACTCAGTACAAATCTAGAATTATATAATAAAAAATACCATCGATGATCACTCACACTAAAGCGCTCCTTTTCCAAGCCACTGTTCACTGAATAAATATGCTTCAGCACTTCCAAACCCTCGTCGTACTTTCCTCTAGTTACAAGAAACTTTGGACTCTCCTTCGTCAGAGTCAGGCTGAATGCAGACAAAATCAAAGGCAGAGCGTAAACCATTGTAAGTAATCGCCAAGGCTTAAAGCCATACCAGATGTTTGACAAAATGGTCCAACCTAGAACTTTAATATACAAACATTAACAGTCGTTTGTTTTATCCATCTATCAGCCTTGGAGTACAACGTTGTACAAGCCTTCCTTATAAGAAGTGGTTTTATGATAATTACCATACTTGACAGGTTTATTAAAAGCAAAGTCGGATAGTTATATTTAGATTTTTTAAAGACTAAGGGTTACAAACGAGCACACAGTCCTCCTGATAGTAAGTGGACAATGTCTCTTAGTTTCCGGGTCTCCGGTTCTCTACACACACCATACGAAACACTGCAGCATTAGGCTATTTTGCGCTAGTATTCTGTGAGATCGTGGTTCTTCCCCGGTCGAGCCGACCCATTCGTGCTGCAACCATAATACAACTACACTGGGATCTACCACGTATAAATTAATTAATGGTTGCCATAATAATCCATGTATTAGATATTTAGATCTAGCCTACTAGCCTACAGTTATAGTAGTCCAATTCTACCATAGAATAGAATACATTAGAAGATAATAATTTTATTCAATAAAGATAACAAGAATATTTATTAGAATCAGTCATGCTTTTACTACTGGTGCGAAAAATATAGGTTACTAGATACATATAAAAGTTGTAGAATATACCTTGTTATTTTTCAACGAGTAGCCAAATTTTAAACTTAAGTTCAAATATATAAATAATGATATATCGTTGTTGCAGTTTTTTAAAATACGAGTAATACAAGGCATCTACTTTTATTTGAAATTATCCCAAATTGAATGTGATTTATGGGCAACAGCATTTTTGCCTACCGATCGACCCTTGCGAATGTGTGCGTGCGAAAATTAAAATTATCACGCATTTTGAATTTAAAAGATAAAAATTCAAAGGACGGAATGGACAGCAGTGAGATGTATTGTACGATAAGCTGTTACTTTAACTATTTTTTTTATAGAATAAGGGTGACAAACGTGCACACACAGTCCACCTGATGGTACGTGGATGATGTGGTCCATAGACATCTACATATATTCTAGAACGCATCTGCGTTTTGATTCTTAAATCAAAACGCAGATGCGTTGCCACCCGTGAGGATTTGAGGAATCCTCTTTTCCAATAAAAAGGATCTCAAGTTCTCTACACTCACCATGCGAAACACAGCATATTACTGCTTAAAGCATAAGCTGTTATTTTACGCTGGTATTCTGTGAGAGTGTCCTCGGTCGAGCTGACTTATTCGTGAAAGAATAGAATATAATATTTTTTATTCAATATAGATCACATGTAATTCTTATTACATGTGCTGTAGGAATACGATTAGGAGCGGCGATTTGTCAACCCCAGCAATGCCCCTGTGGTAGCAGCGTCGTCAAGTTTGGGATCCACGGATTTTCATGTAAGAAAAGTGCTGGTAGGTTTTCACGGCACGGTTCTTTGAACGATGTCATCCGAAGGGCTCTTGTCTCTATAAATGTTCCCTCGGGCTTAGAGCCTTGTGGAATATTTAGAGACGATGGTAAGAGACCAGACGGTATGACATTAGTCCCTTGGGAGAGAGATAAAACCCTAGTATGGGATGCTACTTGCCTAGACACTTTGGCAGCCTCTCATCTCAGGGGTACCTTGCTTAGAGCCGGGGCGGCATCAGAGGCACTTGAACTGAGTAATTGGCGCAAATACGAGTATGAGTCTCTGAGAGATGACTACATATTTGTGCCCTTTGCTGTAGAGACTATATAATAAATAAGTTACTAGTTTTAGTATTTTTTTATAGTTTTTAATGATGTATATAATAACATATTGTATAATAAAAATTCTTCTATTCTTATTTAAAGTAATTTCTTACTTTACCACTGGTTCGGAAAAACCCTCTGTCCTGGGAAGAATCAGCAAGAAACCCAGCGGGACTTTCTTTATAAATTTTACAATATGAAAGGGTGAACAAACTATTTACAAAATTTATTTTGAAAATAGCTTGGAAGCGATCACCTCATTTTAGGGGTTTTTATCAACCATGTGTTCATTTATATTATAATATCACTTTTTATACACTTTTTGTTTATTAAAATATTTAGACTTGGTAATAGACACAACTATATAGGTGGACCATGTCACTACTACGTATTATAAGAGTACGTTGAAAAGAGAAATGAGTGAATGAGTTGAATTGACCTCTTTGTTTTTGAAGTCGGTAAAAATATATTTTTCAATGTTTTGACATGTTGTTTTGTACAATTATCAATAAATAGTAAATAAGAATAACTTACTTGGAGTTAATGAGGCAGAGAGCATAAGGAAAGCATTGCATGTCAACAGGGTCACATCTCGTCTCTTCCTCGGCATTAATTCACCAGCATACGCGAAGCAAAGAGACGATGGACATGATAAGCTGTAAATCAAATTTGGCACAAAAATAAATTGGATTTTATATTAAATAGTTACAGTTTTGTTTAGAAAAACTTTATTACACTAATAATAACAAAATAAAATATTTTCAGTCTACTGCACTGGAAAGTATACGATATTAACACCAATGGCGGGTACATCACTCACATTCAATTTGCCAACGATATTAGTCCAAGATAATGTATGGCAGTGAAAGTTGGGTGTGGCAGATGAAGTACGAGAGTAGAATAAATTCTGTAGAAATGCGGTCATTTAAGGAATATGTTAGGGCTGAATCGGAATGACAGGGTGAGAATTTGTGTGATAAGAGAAAAGTGTTGTTTCCAAGATAATGTTCTGACCTGGTTTAAGAAAGGAATACTTCGGTGGTTTGGTCAAAGAATGAACGAGGAAAAAGTGACAAAGCAATTCTATGTTGCAGAAGTGAACGGCAGAGTCGGGACCGAATGCCCTAGATGATAGTTTATCAACCAAATTGAAAATGGGCCAGATTAAGAGCACCCTTACCCGACGAGCATGTATGCGTGGGTATATAGATGTAATGGAGATGAGAGGGGTGTGTCAGGATCGTGCCAAATGGAAGTCTGTAGTCTCTGCCTACCCCTCTGGGTGACAGGCGTAAGTGTTTATGTGTGTATTATGAGCTATTTATTAATATACAACTGCAAACAACATGTATTGATTTGTCTTCATACCTACAAAAATTATTTGGTCGCGAGTCAATTTTTAACTTTAATATTACTTCATACACAAGTAAAAAAAAATTAGAAGCAACTGCCAATTAAAGAAAGACTCAGTAAGTAATATAAAGATTACTAATTACTACTAAGTATAGATCGGAAATTATGTAATTTAAAAATTATAATATTTTGCCTTTAACTTACAATAAAGACCCTGCTAATTTGCACAGTGCGAATGTTAGCAATGAAGGCATAAACGACGCGATTAAACCAAAAAAACCTGCGAACGCCGAAGACAACAACAGAACTGGTTTTCGACCCAGAGAGTCAGCCGCTCTCCCCCAGAGTGGCGCCGTCAAAATAACGCCTGAAATTAGAATAATAGCATTTTTTTTTCTATAAATCGAAACAAATTCTTCTTATAAATTAACCTTCTTATAAAAAACCTACTTCAACATAAATTATTAAGGATAACTCAAAAACTACTGATCAGACACATGAGAAACCTCGGCTTTCAAATTTAAAAAAAAATCATTGAAATTGGTTCACCGAGAAAAAAGTTATGAGATAACACACATAAAAACATATAGTCGAATTCAGTACCTCCTCCTTTTTGAAGTCAGTTGAAAATACGGTTTAAGTATTTCAATTTCAATAAAACTAAGGAGTTCAGTTGTGTTCTACACATTAGAAAATGTAATACCTACTGTTAACTTTTATTTAGGGAAGTTTGTATAAACATAAATATATAATATTACTTAGTATTTATGCTTACCTACATAAAAACTATAACCGACAGCAATAATATACAAACATACAAAATTTCACCTGTTCAATGTTCAAAAACTTTATTAAACTAAGTTTGTATAAAAAAAGTTATTATAATAGTAAAGAATTTATGGATGATAATAACCCCTGGAAATGAGGTGAACGCTACCAAGCTATTTCTAATTTGTTGTGTTGTTAATTTGTGTAACATAGGTACATGATTGTAATTTTTTTTTATAGAATAGGGTGACAAACGAGCACACACTACACCTGATGGTAAGTGGTTGCTGTGGCCCGTAGACATCTACATTTAGCCTCGTTTGTGAACCAAAATGCAGATGCGTTGTCACCCGTGAGGACTAAGATGGAATGCCTCCTTTCCAGTAAAAAGGGTCTCCGGTTTTCTATTCTCACCATACGAAACACAGCAGCATTAAGCTGCTATTTTACGCTGGTATTCTGTGAGAGCGTGGTCCTTTCCCGGTCGAGCCGACCCATTCGTGCTACAACTATACTACTAATATAGCTGCAGCATGGCTCTACCACGTGTTAAGTGTTATAAGCTGTTCCGCTGGGTTTCTTCCTGGTTCTTCCCAGGACAGAGGTTTTTTTTTTGAGATGATCAGCGTGGGTAGCGGGACCTTTTAAAATCGACACTAAAACCTCAACTATCCGCTTCACGTTTAAGATGTAAAAATTAAGAGGGCTGGTTCTTTTCTCGCCTAAGGCTAATTATATAGGCATCCACCGAGGAAACGCATAAAGTAAAAAAATAATTTCAATAAGATTTACACATCTATATTGAATAAAAAATTATTCTATTCTATTCTATTTAATTCTAAACCTTCTTGATAATTTTTAATTAAGTTTTCGTGATAAATATTGTAATTTATTTATGTAAAGTGAAGTACCTATCTGGTGATTTCAAAATATTCAAACAAGCTAGTCTGACTAACTATAAATTTTTCTCTGGGAAAAATGTGTATGAAACAGTGCTGTGTTAACGACGTGATAGATAAAATTTTCAATAGAAAATGTTAGAAATTTTCGACAAGCGATGCAAGTTGTTGTAGTATTATGGAGAGTTGGAGACCATTTTACGCTCAAATCAAAAATTGTGTATTAATATTAAGTAGTCGCAAATTGTCGGCGCCAATAATCTTGTATAAGTCCTGATTTACCACGGGCTTAGCAATGAGGAAAAACATCGGAAGGAAGCCTGCATGTCTGATAAATAAGAAGAGAAATATTTCGAAGACATGTAAAGTTCGCCAACACGCATTGGGGAACCGCAGCGAACATTTCTTTGCCCTAAAACCCTCTTGCATGTCTGAGATATAAAATTTGAATTCTGCCATCACACACAGCAACGCGAACTCACTGTTCCTTAACTATCTCAGAAAAAAAGAGGACTGGGCACTGGTCGCCCAGCCGTGTAACGTATAAAGTCCGTCCCTAACTTTTCCTTACTTTTAAGTCAAACTTTATACAAGGGTTTATTTTTATTACCTATATTTGGTATAGATGCCACAATTCCTCTTAAATTGTCTGGTAAATCTAAGTCACAGGCAGCGGAAGGTAGTATGAAGGAATACCCGATCATCTCCAGGAGAGCAGCTGCCAATGTCAATACCATCAACGCGCAATGGAAATATTGGTATTTACCAACGCCTGCAAATAAATAATAGCAACATTTACATTAATGATTTATTACAGTTTTAAGCGTACACTATTCTCATTTAAGCTATGAAAGCTATATAATATACTATCCTTTAGACCGATTTCACTCAAGGCGGCCAGTTGCAACATCACTAGGCAACTGCGCAGGACAGGGTTATAGAGCCCGAGTGTATACGCAAGCACAGGTGCACTTTCTATTTGCTCACTCTCACAGTCCGATGGGACGCAAGCCGAAATAACCGGAGAGAGATCAGGTGCAGGACAAACGGTTTTACGTTCTTTATGAGGCACGGTGGTCAAACACCGCCAATTTCCTGACTCCAGTCTGCTACTGAGAAGTTCTTGAGAGGAAAGGCCAACAACTGACTTTGACCTGACCCAGGGTTTAAAGTAGGGGCCATGTTTGTATACGTGGTAGAGTCATGCTGCAGCTATTAGTAGTATAGTTGTAGCACGTATGGGTCGGCTCGACCGGGGCAGGACCACGCTCTCACAGAATACCAGCGTAAAATAGCAGCTTAACGCTGCTGCGTTTCGTATGGTGAGTGTAGTGAACCGGAGACCCTTTTTACTGGAAACGAGGCATTCCATCTTATTCCTCACGGGTGACAACGCATCTGCATTTTGATTCGTAATTGAAGATATATGTAGATGTCTATGGGCAACAGTAACCACATACCATTAGGTGGACTGTGTGCTCGTTTGTCACTCTTATCCTATAAAAAAAATGTGACCAGCAGTCGTACTTAAAATCACTAGGTCAACGGGTCCGTTACAACGAACAAGCGACGCAAGCGAACAATAAGGTATATTTTTGATATAGTTTTGATGGCGTGAGGAAATTCCTTACCCCATTTTGACCCATGCGTCATCCATTCCATCCATTACAATCCACAAAAGTTCACTGCTGAACATACGCCTCCCTCATAGATTGCCTCATAGGGGGATTTTGAAATGAACCCACTTGGCGGGCGGGTTGTCAACCGCAGTTTTTTTATTATTTTAAGCTGTTATCAGGGAGATGCTGCTGCTCATCACCAGTTTACCTCTGTTGCTGCTTACGACACCCACGGGACGATATGGGGGTAGTGTGGAAGTCGTGGATGTTCTAAAAAGCGACTTTGAAAAACACCGTTCAGATCACATGACTCCGATAGATGGCGGTATCTACACCTTATTTTATACTAGCATACCGCCACGGCTTTGTACGGGATATTTCTAGTTATCATCAACAGCACCAGTTACTGGTTCCAATTGTGAAACTAAATCTTCCAGGAGCCCACTCTAACACAAAACAAATTCACGAAAATCGGTCCAGCCGTTCTCAAGTGATGATCTTTCATAAACGCGGAAATTGATTTTATATGAATGTATAGACTATACATACACATATAAACTTTTCTTTAAACCATTCTGCCTACTAATGAAAACCGCATCAAGATGAGTTACGTATTTTAAAAGATCTAAGCGTACAGACTTTGTTTTGTACTATGTAAGGATTAAGTTTTTGTACGTGGTAGAGAATAATTTAAAATTAAAAATTTTGTACAACCGACTTCAATATAAATTATTAAGAATAACTCAAAAACTATTGGTCAGAACATAATCAAATTTATATTGGACCCCATGTGATGCACCAGCATTCAAATAAAAAAAAGAATCATCGAAATCGGTTCACCCCGTAAAACGTTATGAGGTAACACACATAAAAAAACATACAGTCGAATTGAGTACCGGCTCCTTTTTTAAGTCGGTAGAAAACTGAAACACATTATATAAGTAGCTGCAGTACGACTACTGCTATACGACTGCAGTACGAATGGGGAAGAAAACTTGCATAAAATAACAGCGTATTGCTGTTTTTGTGATGAGTTTGACGTGTTCGGGTGACACTTTTCACAGTTAACAAGGCGTTCCATTTTAGTTCTCAATTGCGACAGCATTTAGATTCTTAATCGAGTATAAATGTGTCTATGGGCTACAACATTCGCTTACTATCAGGTGGAGTGTGCTAGTTTAAAAAAATATTAATACATAGTTTTTGTATTAAAAACAGTTAAAACTTATCTAACGTGTATAAAAAGGCGCGCAGTTTTACAACTTATCTTATGTTATCTAACAATTTTGTTAGTTATGGAACATAGGTCACACGATATTTTTTTGCTACAAGGCTGGCTTATGATTCGGCAAGAACAAGGCAAAATTATGTATTAATAGCGACCCTATTTGTCTATTAATGCGGCGTTACATATATTTAAGGTTTTTTTAAAATCAAAAACTCAATAAATCATTTATTTCACCATAATAATTTTTCTGTTTTTCGGATAAAATATAGCCTAAATCATTCCTGGCATTGCTCTCTATCACTACGAAGATTAGCCCGAACAGACAAAATTTTTAAAAATATTAATTTATGTCTAACATACGAATAACTCCCTTAGCTTAATAACTAACTAGCTTGTGTGTGCGTGTGCGTGTGAGTGTGCGTGTGCGTGTGAGTGTGCGTGTGCGTGTGAGTGTGAGTGTGCGTGTGCGTGTGCGTGTGAGTGTGAGTGTCCGTGTGTGTGCGTGTGCGTGTGAGTGTTCGCGTGTGTGTGCGTGTACCTTTTCGTATGTGTGTGTGTGTGTGTGTGTGTGTGTGTGTGTGTGTGTGTGCTTGCGCGGGCGTTTGCGTGCTCGCGCGCGTGTTTGTGTATATATATATGTGTGTGTGTGTCTGTCTGTGTGTGTGTATTTGTGTTTGTGTTTGTGTGTGTATGTGTGTGTATGCGTGTGCGTGTGTGCGTGTGTGCTTGCGTGCGTGTGCGTGTGCGCGCGCGCGTGCATGTGTGTGTGTGTGCGCGCGAATGTGCGTGTGCGTGTGTGCGTGTGCTTGCGTGTGTGTGCTTGTGCTTGCATGTGTGTGCGTGTGTGTGCGTGTGTATGCATGTGTGTGCATGCGTGTGCTAGCGTGTGCAGGTGCGTGCGTGCTTTCCAAGGCACGAGGGTGAAACACTATCAAACAACTTTCTGACTCCGTGTTACGCTAAGCTACTGCCTGATTTAAGACCCGACCTGGGATTCCATGATCAGAATTCGCGCTTACGAATTACGATCACTAAACAATAATAGAAAGAAAGAGAAATAAATAGAAAGAGACAGTAAAATTTTTCAGTGTTTTCACAATATAATAAGACACCAAATATTTAAAATAAGGTACTAAATAGTAGCAATTAGGTACTAATTTTATATTTTTCGAATTTATATCATGATCTAGAGATTCTTACGCTCACATAATTTTGTGGTGCAGTCGATAATCAAACTCTGCTTGCTCACGTGTCTACAATGAAATTATTAGACGAAAGCATCTCCTGACCTATATTTCTCTATCTCTATATATGAATATCTCCTGACCCATGCACTCATCAAGTATTTTAGTTATTAAAGTAAGTACTAAAATATATGAATTAAATAGAAATGAGACACGTATTGTTTATAAAATGACATTTCTGTTATAAGTCATATTCAAAACAAATTTTACTCCGAATCACTGCTTGTGTACTTTGACTGGGCTCTCTAATTGTAACAATAAATAAAGAACCAATGAATCACAAAGACGCAACTAACTAAGCTGTAAGTATAACCGATATATAACCTACTATATGTTAAAAAGAATACTATCATTTATTCTTTCTTTCTTTTTTAGTAAAACGTGAGGTAACGTTTTTCTAAAAAAGAAAGAAAGAATAAATATACACACACTAGGATTTTGTCCTGTATCGCGGGGGCAGTTTACACACATTTCACAAGGACAAACATCCCGACCCAGAACAATTATTTGTAGGCCATACAAATACTTGTTCCCGGCCCTTAGCGCTACAATTCATTGCTAAGCCCCTGCGCCATGGAGCCACCTTTACGTATTGAACAGAATTAACAGATATACAAAGGAATTACCTGTTTAATATAATTTGTAAAAGAGGTACAAGGACTGTTTGACATGAATTTCACAAGGTTTTACCAATAATGTGGATTCCATTCCCTTTGCCTATTGTATCTATTGTACTTGCGGTGAAATGTGAAATGGCTTGCGGTTTAACGATACCTACCATTACGTTTCAAGTGAAACTTATTTGGGATAACTATAATATTCTGTCACGACATAACCGGAATCAAAATACCTAAATAAAATTATATTGTTAATTGCAATTCCTAGAACAAGCTTACTTAGATACTTTGCGCAAATCCATTACATACGAGTCATAAAATAAAATCATGCGTATTACCTAGTTGAAGAGCACCTCCCGCTCTTTCTCACTATCCCCGTCACCACTTATCCCAGCACCACTACTCCCAACACCACTACACTAGGAAAGACACGCCATCGTCGGTAATACGATACGTGTTTCGCCTCTACATGAGGCATCCTCAGGTGAAATAAACTCTGCGATTACGCTTACTTCAACTAGATTAATTTCACTACGCGGATATAAGCAAATTAATATTTAACAACTTTAATTGCAATTCCTCTTCTTTTAGTATCTAATTACATCCTTCCTCAATTGAGAATCAATTGAGGAAATCCTCAACGAAAAAATGCAGATGCGTTTTTTCGTTGAGGATTAAGACAGAGTGCCTTGTTACCAGTAATCCTCTTTACTGTCTTTGTTCTCTGGTTTTCGTTACTTACCTACTAAATGCAGGAGCATCACGCTTCTTTTTTACGCTGGTATTTTGTGAGAGTGTGAGACTTACTTCTGTAAACATGATAGAGCCATGCTGTTGCTATATTAAGTGTATAGTGGTAACACGAATGGGCCGGCTCGACCGGGGAAGGACCGCGGTTTCATAGAATACACACCGTAAAATAGCAGCTTAATGCTGCTGTGTTTCGTATGGTGAGTGTAGAGAACCGGATACCTTTTTTACTGCAAAAGAGGCATTCCATCTTAGTCCTTACGGGTGACGCATCTGCATTTTGATTCGCAAACGAAGATAGATGTAGATGCCTATGGGCCACAGCGACCACTTACCATCAGGTGGACTGTGTGCTCGCTTGTACCCTTATCATATAAAAAAATCCTCGGTGTCAAAACCGTATATTTATATCGTATGTGCTGATTGTTTGTCGAATTTTAGATTTGAGTTTTTTTTTTCAAATGGTCTAGATCTAGAGTATATATCCGTGTTATAAAGTCGTAAGATAATCTATCAACCATATTTTATTATATATACCCTCATTTTAGAGGAAACTATGGGAAATGCTATAAAGTGCTAATGGCTTCCATTAGATGGCAAAATAACCACCTCAATCATGCCAGGTGTAAAATAATAAAAATATCCAGACTCGGCGATTGAGTAGCCTCAAAGTCCCTAGTAGACGTTTGGTATTACAATCGTCAATCCTACCAAGCGTAACGATTAAGCAAAACCCTTCCTACAACGGGAAAGGCACATGTCCATCAGTCAACTTTAACGGATGACGAGGAGGATGAAAGCATTAAAAGTGGAATAAAGTAACCTGAATGAGATAACTAACGTTAACTTACCTGCCAGTTCTAACGCCTCCTCAAGATCAACATCCATTATTTTTAACTTAGGCGCTGGAAACGGACTGTTGAGTTGGCCTCCTTTTCTTTCAGTTTCCATTTTACTGTTAAGATAAGTACAATAATTATAGGAAACATGAAAAATAGTCATATGTAAAGACATTCAGAAGCAATAAAAATTAGTAAAGTCCGTATTCTAGTAATTTTTTTAAAATTGAATTTTAAATACTGGCAGTTTCTTTAAGCGCTGCGAATTATAGGAATGTTTAAACTTTATTATCACTTTATTTTGTTTTTTTTTTTAAATCTAGGAAGCGACAGTAGCCTTTGGACATGCTGACTACGAACTGAGTTTGGATGGATTAGACTCTATTATTCGACTGCTTTCGTGAAAAAAGCATTTGCAGCTTACTTTTAGTGTTTAGAGTATTAGAAATATAGGGTTACTAGTATTCTTTTTCTACCAACCCACCAAGAAAACGTATCTCTTTTACTCGCTCAAAGAAATCCGTCCGTCATACTTAGCAACTACAATCTATTGTTTCCGATTTTGGGGATTCACATCAACTGAATCTAGGGATATTTTATACTTCATCAAATATCTAAAAATCTATGAAGAATTTTCTGATATAGTAAATAGAATAAAACCGGCCAAGTGCGAGTCGTACTCGCGCACCGAGGGTTCCGAACAAATCCGTAGGTATATAAGTTTAAAATTATTAAAAATATTTTTATTATATTATGTAACTAAAAATTTATGCTTTTTGCAATTTTTTCTTTATTTGTGCTATAATATATTGCTTCGTACCAAATTTCTAAATTCTGAGTTCACTGGAAGTACCCTGTAGGTTTTGATTCCCTTGCGAATGTCGGAAATATATGGCATAAACGGCTGTGTCTTTTGATTGCCTTGGCTTAGAAGTTTGATTTTTTTACGGCTCCAAGGGACAGTAGACTTGAGTATTTGATATGAATTTCAGCTTTATACCTCCACGCGCTCTTGAGAAAAAGGGTCTTGACGTCTTGACAGACAGACAGACGGACAACAACGTGATCCTAGAAGAGTTCCGTTTCTTCCTTTTGAGGTACAGAACCCTAAAAATGATAGCTTATTTTGAGGTCTTTAATAAAAAATAAAAAACGTTTCGTATTTTCTTTGCTTTAAATATAAATGTAAAATTATTTGAATCGCAGTAGAAAATTAGTATGATAAAACTTCATTTCCTCTTATAAAACTATTAATTTTAATTAAAATTGAAAAATCTAATTATATAAATCAGTGTTGCCACCTCTTACATTAATTAAACATCGACATCGATTGATCATACTTAAAATTAAATTGTCAATGTCTTGCAGCTGTATGAGGTCCCATGTTCTTTGCAAGTGTTCGGAAAGTTGTTGTTTTGTCGTCAAATTTGGCGGGAAATCTCTCAAAGCTTTTCGTTGTAACATATTCCAGGCATGCTCGATGGGATTTAAGTTGGGCGACTGTGCAGGTCAATACAAAACTTGAATATCATGGACACCAGCCGCACCGTATGAGATGGTTTACCGTGCATTATCGTGCATGAGTAGAAATTCCTGGCCCATTTGGATTCTATGTGGCCAATAACAGGCTCTACTACCTCCTCGTGGTATTTTTGTGCAGTCATGCGGCCTTCCAAACCAAACGAGCTGGGTCCGTCCGCCAAGACGAACTCCTGTTCACACCATGATTGTCCCGCCTTTGTATGAGTGGACCTCCTGAGGGTGCCGTAGACGGCTAAGTATCCCTGGAGTTCCCCAATCGCGTGTTCTTCGTGAATCCAAATGAAACTATAACCGGGACGTGAACAGCACCAAAGACCATTGTTCGTCACTCCATGGTAAATGCTCATGAGTGCAACCCAAGTTTTTTTTTAAAGACGAGTAGGCTAACGAGCATACGGTCCACCTGATGGTAAGCGATTACCATCAACCATGAACATCAACAACACCAGATTAATTGAAAGTCCTTTGGCGGCTTTCTAGAATGAAGTAGCCTCATTTCTTAAAGGTCCCTAAATCATATTTGTCCGGAAAAGCAACTGGCGAGAATAAATTCCATAATGTGGTCGTGCGTTTCAGAAAATTCTAACTCCACTGCTAGATACGGATAAGGATAAGCAGATGGATAAGTTTCTTCAAACACTACCAGAAAACACGGTCCCAGGTGACCTGCATCCATCATCATTGCCACTTTAGGTCACTGATCTGCTGGACGGTTGCAATCACTGTGGTTATACTGTAGGTATCTTTGATACGAATTCAACCTTAGAGAGAAACTTCGAGGATACCAATTTGAGAATCAGTGCTTTTGCAAAATTGCGCGTTCGAATGCTTTTTTTTTATAGGATAAAGGCGACAAACGAGCACACAGTCCACCTGATGGTAAGTGGTTGCTGTGACCCATAGACATCTACATCTATCTTCGATTAAGAATCAAAATGCAGATGCGTTGTCACCCGTGAGGACTAAGATGGAATGCCCTGTTTCCAGTAAAAAGGGTCTCCGGTTCTCTACACTCACCATACGAAACACAGCAGCGTAAAGCTGCTATTTTACGCTGGTATTCTGTGAGAGCGTGGTCCTTCCCCGGTCGAGCCGACCCATTCGTGCTACAACCATAATATAGCTGGAGCATGGCTCTACCACGTAAAAAGATGCTGCACGTAACGAGTATTTGTATGGCGTATAATATTTGTTCCGCGTCTGGATGTTTGTCCTTCTGAAATTTATGTATGTAAACTGCCTCTACGATACAGGAGAAAATCATACTGTAGGGGAAACTCTTTAAAAAAAACATTAACACTGATACGCCTTGTTAGTGAGCCGTGGTAGTTCAGAGGCTACATGTTAGTGCTAGCTGTAATTAATAAAATACCCGAACAACTGTAGTGGCGGTGTAAGAATATCTACTACCCCATACCATACCGTGGATGTCGTATGAGGTGACGCAGGAAAACAAACAAGGAGATTTAAAAAGATTGCGGTTGCCAGCCCGTTTGCCAACTACTATGGTAAATATCTCTCTATGAGGTAATCTATGAGGAGGCCTATGTTCACCAGTATACTTTCATAGGCTATAATGGTAACGGTTTAGAGACGATTGTACCACTATCTATCGGTAGCCATAAGTTTTTTCTGGCAATTCCCATAGTCGTCACTTACAACACCCACGGGATTAAGTAGGATGGTGGATTCTCATATACCACCACTACAAATTTCTACCATAAAATAGTAGAGCTTGCACTGTTGTGCTCCAGTTTGAAGGGTATAGAGAAATACTCTTTATTTCAGGCTGTGAGACATTCCAGTGTATGGCAGCCCCGCGCTAGATGAAGTGAAGACCTGGTAAGATATGCAAGAAGTCGATGGATGCTGGTGGCTGAGGATCGTGCTCTGTGGCTTGCGAGAGGCCTATGTTTAGCAGTGGACTTTAAGGCTGTAACGGTAACTGTAAAGGCGAGCAACCCGGGTGCGATCCCCACCGGCACCAATGAATTTGTTAAGTGCAATTTTAAGAGCAAAAAAATCGTGAGGAAACCTGCATGTTCAAGAAAAAAAAAATAATGTAGAACTGGCAAGTAGAGAAAAAAGACAAAAAAATTGTCTTAATATTCTGCTGATGATTGGGATGTCGATCGTGATGATTTTTAAATATTATTACATATTAGGAATGTGCAAATAAATTTAAATAATTAAAAATTAAGAGTATTACGGATGTTTCTTATATTAAAGTTATATTATTAATAAATAATTTTGTTATCTGTGGGATATTTGTAAAATGAAAAACAAAAGTATTTCAAGAATATGAAAAATAACACTTACATAATACAATATCAAATCCTGATATAGTTTCAAGCACAAGTTTCTCTTCCGTTCATAAAAACTGACAAATTTTACATGAAATTACCACATCTCAAAATAAGACGCTCTTGGTCAATGTTATCACTATGCTACTTCTCGCACATTACTGTCTCAGAGCGTACATAAATAAAAATGCGTTATCTTGTGTTTACATATTTATTTTGTTTGTTCCTAGTAAAGAATTATTGGCGATCAGAACATCCTTGCTATCGGTAGTTATTCGGTTAATTGGTTTGAGAATATGTCATGTAATTCATCTTAACTTTCCCCTGTTTCTTTTAGAGATTCTGCGCACATATTGAAAACCATTGAATAGCTTTTGGTTTGGTTGAAATTTGGTTAGGAAACCACATTATTTAACTCAGATAATTTTTATAACGTGTAGTGATGGCGTAACTAAATCTATCACCTTACAACGTGCCTTTTGTGTCGTGAGACTTAGATTCGCCTAAAACACTTCACGGCTACTCAACATGGCGGTATGAATTCTCGAAATTCAATTTAAAACTCTCGAAACGCAGCGGGGGCAGCGTCACAAGTGCAAGATATCTGGTAACTCCATCACCTATATATCCACGTGCTAAGCGTGACAACGATGCAAATCCAAATTTTTAAATAAAAGAGACCCGCGTTCAGAAGTGAACTGTTAGGACTGATAAAAGAGGATAATATTAATAATTTACATTTTCAATTATGTAATTTTGTGCCATTCCTTGAAGGAGTTCTATGTTCAACTGTAGACCTCTAAGAGGATGTGATGATAATAGGAATAATATAATAAAAGGTTCTCGAGTGGCAGTATCGTACCGGTAAATGAAGTGTAGTGCGGCTCACACTAGATGAGTGGTAAGACATGCTTTGAGTCCATGGATGCCTTTGTTTTGTGACATACCTTGGGGAGGCCTTTGTTCAGAAGTGGACCTGTGAAGGGCTGTACGACGATATTGAATGTAATTATAGTAATGATTATTATTTATTTTTCAAAAGCAGAAGGCACCGCTGGTTTCATTATTTTCCACTTCACTTTCGCCCGTTCGCTTGGTCTCCCTGCCAAGGACTTTCGGCTAATAAGGCTTTATTGTCGGTTGTAGGAGCCCCCTATCTTTTTCTTTTAAACCTTTAAAGTTGGTGATTGTACATCAGTAGGCGTTTATAGGCTGGTGGATAAATGAATTGTGATAGTCTCGTTTGCACTATTTATGACATTTCCAA